TATAAACGACAGGAAACGTACCTTGGAGGAACATGAAAATCACAGTCAGTATTCGCTTTAAAAACATCTTCTTTAAATTAATTGAGGAAGCACTTCAATTCAAGTACGTGTTATAAAAGCGGAAGAAGACATGACCAACGACGCGAAGCAAAATAACAGAAATATTCATTGAAACTCAGCGGGAAGACTGTGGTGCTTTTGAAATTGCAGGAATAACAAATATCAAACATTCCTAAATCACGTAAACACGGCTATAGATTATGTTTTATACATTTCAGGTATTATGATAACAGTTTAACAGTTACTTGGTATTAGTAATCTTCCATTCAAGTCGAAAGAGTTCGGTTTGGTTATTTAACAAATTTTTGCTGGCTTATTTCTTATTATCTATATTAAGCTTATTCACTACATAAACCAAACGGGCTTCGTACAAGAGCTCCCTTATATTCCAGTTTCCTTCTGATTCACGTAGTCCTTGTGTACTTCATTTAGATGGCTATATAAGTGATCATCATTTTCGTCCTTCCCAGTCCTTTTGAGAGCTGTATACGTCGACTGTTCATTTTCCACTTGTTCATAATTCGCATCATCTTGGATTTTGTCAGGATTTTCATAAATATCTTTTGAATTATTTCTGTCCTTGCTCTTATCCTCCGGGTTTGACTTTGATGACTTGAGCCGACAATTTTGATAGATGAAATAAGCAAGAATAACGAGTAATATTAGGACGATAATTGCTAATACTATAATTCCAGCAAGATAGTTTCCACCTATGTAAAAATTAAAGAACGCGTTAACTTTGAATGTTTGAAAATGCACTTCTTTGGATTACGTAATTACTCAAGATAAGTAATTTAAATCAGAAATGATCGTATTCTGATTAGGTTTTGTTTTTGCTGCCGAGCGAAGCGAAGGCAGCCACCTGTTCTTGACGACGTTTACAGTTTTTACTCGTGCCAGATCCCCGCGCGACCTATGTATTTTAGCCAAAGCAATCTCGATTTGTTTGTCGTTCGTTCATTCATTCATTCGGGTCGCATTTTCTGACATCACGAGAATGGCGTTGTGTACATTTATATACGCAGGAAGTTTACGATGACAATCCGATCACTTCGAAAGCTGTGTTCGTTGCACCGTAGCTTCATAGGAGCTATGACATTTAATTTTGACATGACCATTTGGGATTCGCATATTTTTCCACTGTGGTACGAATGCACAAGGCTTATTTTACAATATTACTATTTGATTCTGGAGGAAAAGAGTTATATTTTTGAAGGTATGTTGATAAAAATAGTTATTTGAACGTTTCAATACTTATATATGTAAATGAACGTCATAGTCTGTTTTTAATTCATTTCTATAAAAATTCGAATTCTATCTCCTCTAGGTGTATATTTTGGTGTGTGTTCGTGGCGATCATTTGGTCAAATCAAATCAAAAGGGGCCGTTCATATTATGTTTTTCAAAAAAGCAGTGAATTGTGAACTCGATGTACCCATAGATATCTCATATACACTAGAGTAAAATTGAAGCCAAGAATATTCCAGCGGTTACCCCCATTTGAATAGATGGCGGCCATGTTGGTCGTTCCCACTCGCTAATAAACGCTTAAAAACAGCAATAACTTTCATCATTTGAATACTTTAAAAATGTATTTGGAATAGG